ATTTCAAAATGTGATGATGGACACAAGACTACGTGCGGAAATGGTAACGTCGCTTCTGATTTGTCGGTAATTGTAGACGGCTACGAAACGAATGCTTTAGTAGACACAGGCGCAGACTATTCCGTCATGAGCAGGGGACTTGCCAGAACGCTGAAAAAAGTGCTGACCCCTTGGATAGGACCACAAGTGCGAACCGCCGGGGGACACCTTATCGATCCGGCAGGCATGTGTACCTCTAGAGTCGAGATACGCGACTTCACCTACGTCGCCAGCTTCATTGTCCTGTCGGAGTGTTCAAGAGATGTAATTATCGGAATGGACTTTTTGCAGGCCAATGGTGCAGTGATAAACTTGCAGGAAACGTGCGTCTCGTTCTCGACGAAACACGCCATCGCGACATTCGAGAGTGAAAAACGATTCAATGCGCTCCAGATTGCAGGTGATGATGTAACAGTACCTGCAAGATCCATCATCGTTGTCACCGTAAAAAGCAACGTGTACAACTACTATGAAGGAATGGCAGAAAGCAATACTGGGCTATTACTCGAGAAAGGGATCGGTGCAGCAAGAGGTATTGTACGACTGCGTGATGGGTGTACGAGTGTTCCTGACAAATTTTCGAAATGAGGTGCAGCACCTTGCGAAGGGAACTGTTGTTGGTCACTTGCACGACTACGTTCCGATTACAGATTTGAATTCTTCTGAGACTGCACCACTGCACCCGGACGGTATAGGCTGCATACTCGCATCTATCCACATCGAAGCAGCCCTATCACCGAACCAGAAACAAAAAATCGAGAGCCTTGTACGGGAGTACGCCTCATGTTTTTCCACGTCATCGAAAGTGCAAAGAACATCTATAATCAAACACCGCATCATAATCGATAAATCTGTTAGACATATTTGCCAGAACCCGTACCGAGTGTCACCAAAAGAGAGAGAAGTCATTAGAGGCCAAGTTGAAGAAATGCTCAGGGATGACGTAATTCAACCGTCAGCCAGCGCATGGGCCTCACCTGTAGTACTGGTAAAGAAAAAGACCTTGCGCTTCTGCGTTGACTACCGAAAATTGAACGTCGTCACAAAGCGGGATGTCTATCCCCTTCCAAGGATCGATGACACTCTTGACAGACTACGAGACGCGAAATTCTTCTCCTCTCTAGACCTCAAGAGCGGATACTGGCAGATAGAGGTGGACGAACGAGATCGCGAGAAAACTGCTTTTGTGACCCCAGATGGGTTATACGAGTTCAAGGTACTCCCATTTGGCCTGTGTTCCGCACCCGCCACATTTCAGCGGATGATGGATACTGTGCTGTCCGGGTTAAAATGGCAGTCCTGCCTTGTCTATCTCGATGACGTCGTGATCTTTTCGGCCACCTTCGATCAGCATGTGGAACGACTACGGACTGTGATCGAAGCGATTAGTTCAGCAGGGCTGACGATAAAACCCCAAAAGTGCCATTTTGGTTTTCATGAACTGCTTTTACTCGGTCATGTGGTTCGCTCTGAAGGCATTCGACCTGACCCCGACAGCAGCTGTAGAAAAGTTTCCTAGACCAACAGATAAAAGGGCTGTGAGACGATTCTTAGGACATTGTGCCTATTACAGAAGATTCATCAAAGATTTTTCGAAGATTGTGGAGCCACTAATCCGACTGACGAAAGAAGACACGCCTTTCGCCTGGACAAGCGAGCAAGAAGAGGCGTTCAATGAGCTACGACAGCGACTCCTACACCACCCCGTCCTGGTACATTTCCACGAAGAAGCCGAAACAGAGATTCACACAGACGCAAGCTGTTTGGGACTAGGCGCCGACCTTGTGCAGCTGCAAAACGGAGAGGAAAAAGTGGTCGCATATGCTAGTCGAACTCTTTCGAGAGCTGAAAAAAATTATTCGGCGACGTAAAAAGAATGTCTGGCGGTAATATGGGCCATACACAAATTCTGACCGTACTTCTATGGTAGACCATTTCGAGCAGTGAGCGACCATCACTCGTTGTGCTGGCTCGCAGGCCTAAAGGACCCCTCTGGGCGACTTGCTAGATGGAGCCTCAGGTTGCAAGAATACGAGATAACAGTCGTATACAAGTCGGGTCGCAAGCACAGTGATGCTGATTGCCTGTCACGCGCACCAATGCAATCTGCACCTGTGGAAGATGGAGACGACTTTCCGTTTCTTGGAGCCGTCAGCACCACAGACATGACTAAATATCAGCGATCTGACGCGGAGTTGCCTCAACTTGTCAAGCATCTGGAAGGGCAACCCGTGCGTGTTCCTCGAGTTTTCGTCCGGAGATTGTCCTCGTACCTCATGAGAAATAACGTTTTATACAAGAGAAACTTCGAGCACAGCAAGGAGAAATTCCTACTCGTCGTTCCTTCGGCCTTGCGACGCGAAATCCTGGAAGCCTGCCACGATGACCCAGCAGCAGGACACCTCGGAGTGAGTAGAACATTGGCTCGCATCCGCACCAAGTACTACTGGCCAAAGTTACTGGATGCTGTACAGCATTATGTAAGGACATGTAGAGATTGCCAGAGGCGCAAAACGCCTCCATTGAAACCTGCAGGATTTCTCCAACCAATCGAACCACCTGAGTCTCCGTTTGAACAAGTAGGAATGGATCTACTTGGTCCATTTCCTACATCATCAATGGGCAACCGATGGATAGTAGTGGCGACAGACTACTTAACCCGGTATGCCGAGACAACCTCTCTCACCACGGGCACGGCTATAGACGTAGCTGAATTTTTCGTCACTAACATTGTACTACGGCGTGGTTCCCCAAAGGTGGTTATCACGGATCGAGGAACTGCATTCACAGCCAATCTGACGCAGTCCATTATGAAACTTACCCACACAAGTCATAGGAAAACAACGGCTTACCACCCCCAAACAAATGGGCTAACCGAGCGAATCAACAGAACTCTAACCGATATGTTGTCCATTCACGTTGACTTGGAGCACCGTATGTGGGACAAGATACTACCGCACGCCACTTTCGCTTACAATACTGCTGTGCAGGAGACTACTAAAGTGATGCCATTCCAGCTAGTCTATGGTCGAGTAGTTACCACACCATTAGATGCAATGCTGCCTGTAGGCGACAATACAGAGCACAAGCCTGACATCAGCGAATTCATTCAGCGAGCCGAAGAAGCACGGCAGTTGGCACGACATCAGATAAAACAACAACAACGCATGGATGCAAACCGTTACAACCTTCGTCGGAGAGGAGTCGACTACGCACCAGGCGACCTAGTTTGAATTTGGACTCCCGTGCGGACGCCTCGCCTTTCCGAAACGCTCATGCGCCGCTTTTTCGGCCCTTACCGAGTCCTTCGTCGCGTCAGCTCCTTGAACTACGAGGTGTCACCGGAAGGACAAGTGAGCTCATCAAGATGCCGAAGGAGCACAGAAATCGTGCTTGTGGTCAGAATGAAGCCATACTATGACAGTCAATGAACATCGAACTATACACACCCGATTATAAGGAATACCTATTTCTCCAATGAAAACCACGCATTCAGACCTTCTCAGCAACACTGCTTTAACGCATCGGGACGATGCGTTTTTGGAGGAAGGATAATGACGCAAGGCAAACGCAGTATTTAAACTACGCGCGCTAGTTCGTGTGCCCCGCAAGAGATCAGCGGCTTGATGATCAAACAAGAAAAGGCCGTGACGGCGCGAGCCTCCTCAGCATGGGATTTTGATGAAAAAGAAGTGGTGCGCCGCTCGAGGGTTTTTTCTCGGAGACTGATCCCTTTTGCTGATCGCCTGTTAGAGACGCCGCTACATTTTCCTTTACTTTTCGGGCACAAGTTCGCCCCATTGAACAGTTATTCGTAAATCATTTGGATTGTACGTAACAATATGCTGACGCCGTGTGTCTGCGCTCGCGGCAAAACCGGTCGGTCGCGCTTCGACCGCTTGTCACTCAAGCAACGCTGGCTGCCCGCGGCTGGCATGCCCTCCCAAGCTTACGCCGCAAAGCAAATGAAAGCACACAAAAATTGCCGCGCTACCAATTCTTACTGCGGTCCAACAAGGGGAGAGTGTAGTGTGGGTATAACCATGGGTTTTGGTGCCCGAGCGCACATGCTCACGCGAGCATGGAAAAACAGCCGCCTAGTACTCCAGCTTCGGCCTGAGGTCAGTAAAGGTCCTTTTCCTTACTCTCTCTCTGTCTGCTTTCTGAGGGCTTCAGCTGACCCTCACTCCTCAGCCTACAAGCTGTCGCCTTTTTTTTTATTATGCGCATCCTTAAGTAAAAGAGACGTCACACAATAAAGCAGCACAAGAGATTTCTGGATCCCATTTTCAGACACACTACAAATGGTGTAAACACAGGTACACATTTCTGCTTGAATGAAAGGGCTGTATGAGAACTTGTTGTTGGATGATTTTGCGATTAGGTAGCATGGCGATTTTACTGTACCGTAGATTGTACTCTAGAACGCGAAAGTATGAAGACGTTCTATGAAAGCTCGGCCGTGTCCTCACCTACTTCCTCTCACCCCCTCTTATGCAATAAGTGTTAAAAGAGGCCACTTTAGGCAATCACGATCGGAGGCATGACATTACCGAATCCCTCCCGCAGAAGAAAAAACTCACCTAAGAAAAATTTGTGAGTTCGGCAAGTCATATTTGCGACGTTGAAAAGTTCAACCTGTATTATCGGCGCGTTTAGAAATTGATGATATGTGGGATTTAAAGTCCCAAAACCACCATAGCACGATGAGAAACACCGTAGTGGAGGACTCCGAAAATTTCGAGCACCTGGAGTTTTTTAACCTGCACCAGAATCTGAGCACATTGCCTAAACCATTCCCGCCTTTATCGAAATTGCAGCCGCCGTAGCCGCGATGCCATCCCGCGACGTGCGGGCCCGCAGCTGAGTACCTTAGCCACTAGACCGCCGCTGTGGGGCGGCACGTTTAGGGTGCTGCACTCTTATTTGCACGACTATTGAAGTACAATATAGCGGCTTACCCGAACAATATCTACACCATGATTGCTTTCGTGTTCATTTAGATTTGATCTTGTCGCCACTAATACACCAAACAGAACTGCGCAGAACAAGCTAGATAGTACCATAATGTTTTATCACCAACGAAGCTAATACGCAGTCCACTCATGTCAGCATATATGAGGACAACTGATCTTGTAAAAAAAGCAAATTAACACAGAAGACTTGAAATGTCTGTGAGGCATTGAAACGTCAACCATAATTTCGCTTTTTAAATCTATCAAAAGTGTATCTTCTTGTTTCTTCTGACAATAGATTTCGTTCCCACATCACTGTCAAAGATGTAACGAAAACTTTGCAAAATACGCTCACAAAGTGGCCTGTCAATTTTAATATTTTCTACTTACGCTATAATTATAGACTACAAGTTTCTATATGCTGTTTATTATGTCCTCCAGTAAAAAAGAAATATATTGGGTACATCTAGTTCGGTTAAAAGGTTCATGAGATAAATAATTTGTCATTTTCATACTGTCAAAAAGTTCGCTGGTAGAAGATGACCACTGAGAGCACCTAATAGTCGAAACGTTTTTTGAAAGAATGTCAACGCACTATCTCTACGAAATTAATCACCTAAGGTTCATTGTGACAGGTCGCACAATGCTTTCGTGGGGTCATTTATCGACTTCATTCATGGCATATGTTTAGAAGTTGAAGAGAGTAAGTGTCTAAAAATTTAAAGACACACTTGAACTGTTCAGCATTTGGAAATACTTCACTTCCCTACTATTACACCTAATCAGTTTCTATACTGCAATTAAGGGTCGGTTCACGCTAGCCGCAAGCATGCTTCAACGGTTGACGTTTGACATTCTCGGGCAGCCGTGTACGGTTGTTTGCTTCGCGCACGTCTGCCATTCTTAGCTGTCAAAAAAAAATGAGTCATAGAGCCTTTTTGGTGCCGTTTGCTGTTGCCGGAGGGTGGTTCAGCAAATCAGCGATGGAAGAGCGATATGGCTCAGGCGCGTCGTCAGCTTTCGCCTCTCCTTAATGCGTGCGCCTGCCGCGGAACACGTCGAGCTGCTTGCTTCTTGCTCCACGGTTTCACGAAATACCGTACGTGTTGTACCCAGACTACGTTCAAGCAGTGAATAGAGCATTTTCGCCGGTACGATAATTTAAAAAGCGCACAGCAATTCAAAATGACGTCCGCAAGCAGGCGTTTCGGCAAGTGGCGCCAGCACTCCAACGCAAGCAACAACAAGCAAACGTGTATTGTATGCCCTCCGAGATATAGGAAGGCTTGCTTAGGCCTAGAACATAATTATTTGAGTATGGTTCTCAAAACGGTGCCGAATCAATTCAAGTACTGTGTTGACGAAGCTGAAAGACATGAGTCTAAAGAAAATGGAAGCATCAGTTAGGAGCTTACGAACTACAGAGCGCATGGTGGTTGCTTGATAGACTCGTGGTGGGTGACAACTGCCTTTGGAAGTGCAGCCATGTTTGTCGGAGGAGCTTGCCTTTAAATTCGAACTACTCTCCTGCGGGCGGCGGTGGCCGCCGGTCTACGGCACTGCGTCATTACGGCAGGCTTGCCGCTTGCGTGAACCGAAACTTTCTTTTGTAGCCTTGGGGAAACTAATTCGCGGACATCGTAACGCGGTACTGAAAAACTGTATGTATGTCTGACAGAAATAAAATATGGAGGGTTTTATAGGTTGTAAGAAAAAACAATAAATGTTTAGCACATATTGCTATATTGCTAGTGTGGGGCTAAAGCAAATGCTGAGGTGATGGGCACCCACTTATTCGTAGTTTTCCCTGTTCCGCTAACAATGAACTTATTCTTTTAACACAAAAATGTTTTACCTAGGAAAACGAAGGCTCGAATGACGTATTTCCTTCACGTAAATGACGTTGAAATTGAACACAAATCAATTGACAAAAAATTACACCCTATTTCACTGAAAGGGGTTCTAAAACACTTTTTAAAGCAACCATGCAATAGATTACCAGAAAAAACTTATTGACAATACATACAATTTATGACGTAAGGGCCATGCTAGATCAAAAAGCGCCATAAAAGGTGATGTAACAATAGCAATGATTCGTTATTTACAATGATATTCATGGATGTTAGGTCGTGAGCAATAGTGGTGACAGTAAGTGGCTGTGTAGGGGCCCAAAATTGGTCGTCCTAAAGACGGGTAAAACGTATAAGTATTAAAATATTGACGTGATGTGACTTGTGTGCTGTGAAAATTAATGGCACGTGCTCGTGATAACAAAACTGTTGCAACGCACGACACTGACTCAACAAAACATAGGTGGCACGTCGTTTATTCAAGGTCAGCCATAGCTTCGGTCAACGCGAGATCCCGCGCAGCCCGAGCGTCAAGAGACCGGCGAACCACGCTTGTTGCTGGTGATGGTGATGCCACAGTTTCTTCCCTTCTTAAAGTTCAAACCATCAAGAGCGCAGCACTTTCGCGTTGAGCGCCACAAAGCTTGAATCTCTTGCGGTGAATCTCTTGTGCTTCACCCCGAAATTCCTGATGGGTCGACCGCGTGTCGGTGTCGCACGATTCATCAACTGAGACGTCCTGCTGTCGCAATTGGTCAAACTTCCGCCGTTCCGTTCCCTCAGTCTTGTCCACTGTGACCATGCGCTTGCCCTGATGGTCCCTTACCATACCAGGTATCCGTCTTTTCCGTGGCCGGAACGTTCGTGTTCCAGCCACGAAACACAAACGCTCCGGCCACGGGGCGTGGCATTTTCCTTCAGGGTAAGCTTCACCAATGAACCTTTGTATTGTCCTAAACCGGGCGCAAACACAACTTTGAACTCTTTGGGCAAAGTATGAAGTTCAATACCAGGTGTCGTGTGGTCTTCCTTGCGCGTGTTGAGGTTTGCGACGACATTTAGTTTCAACATGGCCACTCCACAATTGTTAAACGCCTTGATGGTATCCCTTACGCATAACGCTGGTCCCGGTGTGTCGACGATAACCAAGGTGCACTGCACGTCGTGCCCCTCACAGGTCGCTTTCATGTGCACTTCCTCAACCACTGGAAGTTCTCCCAAAAATATGACAGTTTGAGGGTGGTGCTGCTTGGAGGCGGCCATCTGCTTTGATTCTGCTTCAACAGGCTCACTGAAATAACGCTAACAGTTGACCCCGTATCAACCAACCTGTAAGCGGCACAACATCTCAAGTAATTCCTTTGAAAATTGGCTTAACGATGCGACCAGTACTCGTTTTATGAGCCAAGAGGCGCTGCGAGCGCGCGATGAAGCAAGAAGTGCGGCGCATCGGCTCCGCCCTGCCCGACGTCCTCCGACGCCGCAAATCATCTGGACCCCGTTGGGATGAAGTTTGACCCAGTGGGTCAATGTTTCAAGTTTTACGGCTGAAGTTCACCCGGCAACGTGGGCGACGCTATTACGCCTAACGGCGACGCCAGATCCCGGTGGCCTGGAACGCCGACGGCGTCGCAACGGCCACCCAAGGTAACATGGCAGTGACTGCGTCTCACCTACGGGATTACGATTCTGAAGGCATGGCGTGGACTACAGTTCCATCCTCTCAAGACGACAACGCACTGTTCCGAGTTTTCGGAACCAATCGCTGAATGAAGCGGTCGCGCGTCGCGCGTCTCTTCAAGCAAATACAGCGGCGTCCAACGCCATCCCCGCCTCCGTAACATCGGCCGGCAAGACGTAGTCTCCGGTATCGCACACTGCAGAAGGCAAAGACAAAGCTATTACAAACTGGAGGCCTCACGCAATCCTAAAACCAGGCCCAGACGACTTCATGGTCGTGCTCAAGCCACGCGAACATGTGTCGCTTCACCAGGCCTTCTCGGAAAACCTCTACGGAGTCGCCTTTACGACCTAACTCGGACGCGAGTTGGTGAAGTAAGTCACGGTTGTACCGTGTCATGACCAAAACCTCGTCTTGATCCACACCCCAAACCTGGCGGTGAGAGATCTGCCTCTCGGAGAATTTTCGGTGAACAGCGAACGTGGGGTGATCCCGCTCTATAGATACCTGCGACAAGACAGCCGCGATGTATGCCGTGGTGTAATGCTCGTCAGCAATTGGCAGCTAAGAAGAAGAGCCGCCATCTGGGCCTCCCCGGTAAGCCATCGAGCCGGGACGACGACCGTCACAAGCGAGCACTCAGAAAAATAGCGCACTGCCAAATTCTAGCGACAGTAACAATACCAAGCGCTAAGATACGCCTCGAAGTTATCGCTACAGAAGAAAACAAGCATCCAAAGACTGGCTGGACACGCCGTCTCTCGCCCACGGAAGCGTAGTTTCGCCGACCAACCTCCTCACATCGGCCGCCGAGCAAGCCCTGGAAAGATCTGGAAGGAAATGGGCATGGTGATGTAGAGTTGTGTCACGTGTCGCTGACGGCCCTCGAAACGTCTCACTTTTTCGCCAGCCTTGGCTGTGCATAGAGCTGACGAAACGATCATAATTTTATGGAATCTAGCGCTGAAGGTATTTTAGCGAGCTACGGAGAATAGAGATTAGGAGAAGAAGAAAGTTTGCGCCAGGGTTCTTAGGTTGTTCCACCTTGTCGGTGAAGGTTTTGTCCTAAGTGACAGAACAGGAGAAGAAGAAAGATAGATATATATAGAGAGAGAACTTTATTGATGGCATAGCAAGGTTGGTAAACTTAATTTGCCGGTGGTCCGAAGGGTGGTGGCCAAAAGCTTGCCACGACCGTTTGGGACTAGTTAACCACTTCTGCCTGAAGGCGGTAGTAAGCTGACGACCGGAGTGACTCCCACGCTTCGAGGGAGCAAGCTGGCAGTATTGTTCTTGGTGGGGGTTACCCTTGCATTGCCAAAGAATATGATTTAGGGTAGCTTTCACGCAGCTGCAATGTCGGCAGTTTGGTTTAATCTCTTCTGGATAAATTTTAAAGAGCCGATAAGGGCTGAGCAAAGAATCTGTTTGAATTTGCCTCCAGATCGTGGCTTGTTCTCTTGGTATATCTGCCTGTGGGGCTGCATTTGTATTGTGGTTCTTTCGGTAATACGATGTAATTTTGTTATACGTGGTGATCTCTTCCTACGGGAAGTCTAGGGTGGAAGGGTTCCCATCCTGGTTGATTAAACCTCGGGCTACACGTTG